CCGCCGCCACCCGCCGCCACTCGCCGCCGCACCGGGGAAATTTCCGACCGCCGATTGAGGTAAATTTCATACCCCCGACTCGTTTTTCCCCGCTGATTCCTCCTATGGCCAAATCGAGGCCGAAATCCTGGCCAAACGGCCGGAATACGCGGCCGAAGCCCAGCGGCGCCGCCGCGCCCCCTCTCGGTTTTTGCCTCCGACGAGGCCCTTCCCGGCCTCCGTTCGATGCAATTTTTATATCACCGTGATCACCATTCTTTTCTCTACAGGTTGACCGGAGCCGAATCACCAAAACATGAACCTCGCCGGAGAGCCGCTGCACCCGAGAGCGCCGCCGCCGGTAAGCTCCGTTTTTCCGTGATTTTTTGGCCCCCCGAGGGCCCTAGGGTTGTTTTCTGACAAGGACCAATGCGAGTGTGGCCGAATTCGGCCGAAAACAGTCAACCCGAGGCGACTCGCCGCCGCCAGCGGCGGCGCTGTCGCCGGAGCACGGCGGAGCCGCCGTGCCGGAGTTGCGATTTGGTCCGAAAGGGGCCCTGGGCCTAATTTGGATTTTTTTTGGAACACGTGCAGGTACTGTTAGTGTGTTTCAGTTCCCCGGGAAAAATTCAGGGAAAATTAGGGACGGCCTGCAGGCGCACTGTGAATCGTATTCGGATCTCGAAAACAAGTAAGGACCCCTCACCCTATTTCCTATCACGGTATTAAAGTTCAAAATGATAAAACGGTATTTCTTGAATTAACGCATGCGTGAAATTGCTTAAGGTTGCTAATGGAGCCCGAGTCTAGTGTGATTGATGATTTACTGTTATTTGGCCTGTTTTACAGCTTTAAATGCATTATGGGGTTTGATGTGTTCATTTTACAGATTTGTGTGCATATACTACGTTTTTATTAATCATGGGTTGAATGACTGAAAAACTGATACTGTATGTTGTCTGTTTGGCATGAATTACGATTTGCTTGTTTAAATGTGAATTGATGATGCTTATTGAGGAAAAAGGGAAATGAAACATTGTATAGACTGATAATTGTATGATGGGGTCAGCCTGACTAGATATCCTGGGAGATGGTGGACGGACCGGGTCCGTAGGGAAACCTACCGGGATTGTGGTCTCACATGCCGGACGGGGTATGGAGATCTTATGGTTTTGGCGCCCATACCGGACGGGGTATGGGGACGGCCCGTTTCACCCTCATACCGGACGGGGTATTGAGGTTTATGGTTTTGGCGCCCATACCGGACGGGGTATGGGGACGGCCCGTTTCACCCTCATACCGGACGGGGTATTGAGGTTTATGGTTTTGGCGCCCATACCGGACGGGGTATGGGGACGGCCCTGAAAACTGATTATGAATGTTAAAGGTTAACGGGTAGCGGGACCCCTAGGGACCCCCATGGATACTAGTAGGCTGGTAAATGAGAAAAGAATATGTTGTATAATGATTGAATTACAAAAGGCGTGATAAGTGCTATGTTTTACAGCTTATATTATTCCATGATTGTGATAATGTTATTATTTTTCTTATATTGTTTTCATAAATTCCACCGAGGTAAGTGGATGGTAAAGGTTTTCATGTTAATAAACGAGTTTATTGTAAATTATGCTCCATTGGTCTTTTTGTGTTTTTCTACCCACCTTTACCTTCGTGACGGTGAGATATTGTGATGTTCTTACTGGGCTAGTGTAGCTCACTCCTTATTTAACCATTTCAGATCAGGAAGACATGGTTCCCGAGCCCGTTCCGCAGGAGGACGACGAAGGGGATACCTAGAGACTCTGTAGTCATACTCATAGTTTTATTTTCGAGTTTCTCTCTTAGTTAGTTTAATCTTTTATATTTTAAGTACGTTTCTGGTTTTTCGTGTAAGGGATGTTAACTGAAATTTTGATCTCGCTTCCGCATTTGATATATTCAAATACTCATTTCATTTTAATATTTCCGGGGCCGTTACATTATAAATGATGTAAATGTGATAAAATATGTATAAAACATAGTTAACAAAGTAAGAATATAAAGGAAACGCAAAGTAGAAACATAATATATGAAATTGAAACAAAAATAAATAGTCAAAATCAAAGTTTAGATGTTCTATTTAATTTTTGTTCTTGATAAGAGTTACTAAGTTATCACATCTCTAATAAAAAAATAATTTTAAATTATTTAAGAATTTAAAAATGAAAAAAATTGTCATTGATCATGTTAAAAGTAGGTTACATGTTAAGATTATACATTAGTCAAATAAAAAAAAAATACGATCAAAATTAAATAATATGATAATGAATGAAATACATATCTTGTGCTACAGACTTCTCAAAGTCGTTAGAGATTTTTAGTTTATATCTTAATTAAAAAATCTAATTAAATGATATAAAGAAATCACAAAACCGAATAAAAGTAATAATTATAATTTTAAACAAAAGAACTATAAATAATATCCAAAGAGAATCTCATTCTTACTGTTATTCATTATTAAATTAAAACTTCATTCTTCACACAAAGGAAACAAACCAAGAAAACATAAACTCATGACAAGAGTTCATACTCTGCTAGCTTATTAATTCAATTTTAATTTAGATCGTTCTACTTCTTATTGACATTTTATTTTATTTTAAGGACATCGCAAAAAAAAATCTATTTACCTGTCAAATCTGAATCAACCCATTCAAAATCATCTCGTTTTTCAATTGAAACTAAATTGCGTTAGGGTTTTTTTTACTTATAGTGTTAAGCAGGGCAAGTAGGCTTGAATTTGACTTGGTTTTATAGATATAATGTATTATATTTATAAGTTTTAATTAAAATATAGACTATAAGTACTTAAAA